GATCCAATTCACAATAGTGAGCATGGGTTCGATCCCCATCCCTGGCAGTTTTTTTTTGTCATTATTTATATGTATATACATGATCAGTTTGACTAATTTAAGGTCTTGAGTAGATTTTTTTCAATGCCGATCTCAGTTTTGGTAGATTTCTACAATGATGATAATAAACTATCCATCTTTCACAATATTTTAAAATTCATGTTGTGCTGTTCATAAATTAGGCTCGGCTGTACGAATGAGATATGCATCGTTCATATATACATACATATATGTAGATATCAGTAACTATACGCACGAATCAAAATTTATCAATATTTGAACATTGATTGTAGTTGTCTAGAAAAGGAATGTTCTCGTTTATGAACAAATATGAGACACAAATTCGTTAAGGTAAAATAGTTGTAGCTCAAATTTTGAATATCGTATGAATCATCGTGTATTTTCACCTTTTTTATTTTTCTATATCATTAGAAAATTTCGATCAGAAACAAGAATGACTTGGACTATAACACTTTATACTGATTAAAATATGATAGACACTTAGTGAAAGAATTTGCAAACAATGAAAAATCTCAAGAAATCTCAAATCATATTCTATACGATATATTTGGAGTGCAAAAGTCGTTTGTTTTTTTATTTCCTTATTCTTGAATGGTAAAAGAAAGTACAGAAATGCAGCAAAATACATAGAGCTAGCTCTTTGAACAATAGTCTATTTCATATATTTTAACATTTTAATATAAACCAATACAATAAGAACCATTGAAAAATTTGTTGTTTTATCGTTTCTTACAAAAATAAAGAATAGTTCAGATAATGAAAATTGTCAGATATTACAATCATTGATATATTCATCCATCATTAAGGAGTCACGTAACTTTCAAGAATGTGAAAAATATATGTTACTATTGTATTAGAGTACCTTTCTATCTCTATTTATTTTAACCAGTGTGACTGATGAAAAGTTGTCTTGTAAGCTCAACAAAAATATTTCTAGCTATCAATAGATGTGCCACAATTATTCACACGAAAGAAGGCATTGTATCTTGAAATTATAAAACCGCAACCATATGATCTGTCAATATGTATTCCAGAGGAAATATAATTCCAAACATATCATTATACTGGTGTAGATAAGTTTAGAACAGTTGTATTTTTAAGTTTTCTTCTCGATGATTATATCTAACAAGAATCTTAAAAAAACATTTGCATACATGAAAGAATTCTCCACTAGGATAAGTAAGTTCAAATGCTTCAGCAAAATTGTTTGAATGAAAGTTTGCAGAAAACCACCAATTCCAACATCAACTTTCTGGTTTTTATTCGAAGATCTTTAAGAAAAAACTTTATTTAATAGAGCAAATAATTTTGAGCAAAACGATGTATCTCTGATCTTTCCATGACGTTCCTTCATTGAATTGCATGCAGTTTACAGGAGATTCAAGAAGCATTTTTCTCTTCTTGTTATTGAAAGTTTAAAAGTTTTTGCTGTCTTTAACGCTTGAAGACCTTCTCTATAAATTAAATGCAATTTGATGAAGAAAGGACATGGAGAGATTGAAGACGTCTTATCTTGATCAAAATTATTCGCTCTATCAAATAAAATCTTTTCCTAAAAGGCTTCGAATAAAAGGCAGAAAGCTGATTTTATCGGTCTTAGTTTTTTGCAGACTCTCCTCAAAGCAGTTTTACTGAAGTGTTCGAGCCTGTCAATTCTAATCGAGAATCCTTTTCACAAATACAAATGTTTTGTTAGATTCTTGTTAACTATTATCATCGAGAAGAAAACTTAAAAATTCAGCTGCTCTAAACTAAATTTGTGCCACTATTAATTGAAGGTAAAACAACAGATTGTCCTATGATTTTACTTATCTTTCGATTTCATTTCAAGAATAATCTATGCAAAATATTTTAATCAATTCAAAAGAACGGCTAAAGAGTATCTATAAGATTTGAGAAACCATCAATCAAAAAGGCGAATTACTCGTACTATATTAACGATAACTTACACAATAAAGAATTTATTTAACTTAGTAAAAATCATCATATAAAAGCTCTAGTTTATTGTGGTAGATTTTTTTTGTATAAAAAAAAAAGCTTCAATCATATTGTAAGTAACATAATCGATAGCTAGTTAGTATATACTTGAACTATTTATAAAAAAAACCGTTTTTTTTTTTCATATCACATAACAACGTTAACAACAGAAGATATAGAAACAACAAGAAGAAACATTACGTTAGAAAACGAAAAAAAGTTTAAATCAGTAGTCGCCTTCTGTTGTCGTACATTTGATACTCTTTTATGAATCATATTTTTTGAATTCCATACCCTAAAGAAGAAAGAAATCAAGGTTGTTTATTTTTGAAAATATTTTGAATTAATATCAACTTACATCAGGTGGTTCACAGGTAACTTTACCTTTGGATACTTCTTCCCAATTCATGTTTAAACAAGTACCACCAGATTCGTACTATAAAATTAATTTATTTTCTAATATTTAATTGCTAAAAATCAAGATATCAATTCCTACCATTGATTTATTCATGGCTCGACGAGTATTCTCATCACTATCACGATAAAGTTGTTGAAATATGCTAAAAAGATAAAAATACAACTAATAAAGAACATTCACAAAGAAATCAAGACAACATACGCATTGGCGTCACCCGTATCTTCTTTATTATCTTTTTCATCTTTCTTAATTTGTGCTTCAATTTGATCCCAATTTTTAGCTCGTTGACTTGATGATGGATAACTTGGAGCTTTATCTGTTACTGGTCGGCTCATTGGAACTACAGAAGAAAAAAAAATAGTAAGACATATTTCCAACATCAAAATCAATTATCTTACCCGGTGGTTGTGTTTTGCCAGCTAATGATTGTGCATCTAATGATGTCCATTGAATAGCCTGTCGTTTATACAATTTTATTTCAATCTAAATTGAATATAGAAAAGAAAAACAAAGAATCAGATTTTCTATATACAATATAATATGAATATTGATCTTACATTTGAACCTGTTACATTGAAACTTGTACGTGATGAATCAATAGGATAGGCAAGATCGATTTCAAGTGAATAATCATTTCCTGTTGCAGGAATTTTTGTTTCAACACTTAACTTAAATGATAAATAGAAATATAAACATATCAGCAAGTCAAAAATGATCAAAATTAGTGTCTTGCACGGGTACGACTTTTCGCCACCGGACTCGGCCCAGAGCTAATCGACATTCGGCAAATACTTTTACAGTCATAGTATGACTTTCAAACTTTTGTTCTATACCAGAAAGTATACTATTTAATTTCTTCCTTAAACGGAAACAAAGAAAGAGATCATTTCTCAAAGTGTACAAAAAAAGCAAATGAATCAAGTGATTCAGGATTTATTTGGTGTGTTGCTGCTTCAAAAGTCTGATCAATTTCGCTAAGTATATGTTTGCTTGTTACTAATGACATTGGAATGAAGCGCAACGTTGGAGCTAAACGTCATAACTGTGGATCTATATCTAAGTGCTTGTTCATCATGAGAATACATGTTCACCTTTTAGATAATTCATTCTTTTCTCTGTAGATTCAGCTACTTCGTCATATGGCTCATCATCATGTTTAGATGAATTTTCATTAAAAGCAAAATCTTTCAGCAAAACAAAATTGCTCGTCAGTTCTATGACCAATCTTCAAATACAATAAAAATTGCTCAAGTTTTCACTCTTGTTTTCATTTAAATAGATCGTGTACCAAAGTAAAGATATTTTAAAATATCGAGCTTTCACTAATTGTCTGATCAAATCAGAATATGAAATTATACTGGGGACCCGAATTGACCCAGTTGCAGGTCACTAAATAAAATACGTACAGTTGTATCTGTAGTTTGAACTTGAACTTCCTCTTTTTTCAGACCTTTAATTGGTATTTGCATAGTCAGAACACTGTCTGTTTGATAGAATGAATGTCTATTAAAAATGATTTATACATATTAATAAAGCAAAAGAAAACGAAAAAGAGATTTAAATATACTTAATTTTAGCTGGTGGTGGTGGTGGTGGTGGAACAGAAGCAGCTGTGGCTGCTGGTTTTTCTTTTTCAGTGTTAGCTGCAGCAGTTTGTTTTTTACCTAAATTAAAATTAAATTATCACATTCACCAAAAATAAGACATTCTTACTTTCGACTTCTTTTTCACATTTTTCTTTCCATACTTTTAATTGTTCATCAGCAGCTAAAACCAAAAAGACAAAATAAATGAATACATTCAACAAAATATAATAAGCTTACAATCAATTTCAAGACCACGAACAAATGTGTTCAATGCTTGTTCTTTTAAATCTTGATTATATAATGCTGTACCTTTACGAAGATATGCCTTAATATTTTTCTCATCTAATTCAATAGCAGTATTGCTGTCATTTAATGCATCTAATAGGAATAAAATGATATTCAACATATCTAACAAATATATATATATATCTTTACCAGCATATTTTTTTAATTTCAGTGCACATTGAGCGCGCGCTGCTAAGACTTTAGAAGTAAAATGACCATCACTTTTATCATCATCAGTAAGAGCTTTAGTATACAGCTATAACAAAAAAAAAAATGTTTTTTTTTTATAATTTCTAATGCACAAACAAATATTCTTCAAAGGACGAACTTTATACGCTTCTTCATATTTATCATCAACAAAAGCTTCATTTGCTTCTTCAAATACTTGTTTGGACATGATTACGAATTAAAAGTCTATATGACGAAAGAAAGAAGTAAATGAATAGTGAAATTAACGAAATACTACGGGAAAAAAGGAAGAATATAAAAGATCGAATACCATTCGTCAACGTGTTGTTCTTTCTTTTCAGCTGCTGCAAATATGTAAGATGACGCAAGATGTCGGTTAAATAATTCGTCAAGTCAAGGTTACATTATCAAAAGACAATATTTATATCAAATGAAAACTAATAATATTATCTTTCGAAATATCAAATTAGAAAATAATGAAGTGATCTATTCGAAAAAGTAACTAATTTATGCATAATAGAATATATTTCACTAAATCGTTACTTTGTTATTATTACTTGTATCAAATAGATGTCAAAATAAATGGAAGAAACAAATATAAATTCTTAACACGATTATTAGATTAGTTTCGTATAGGTTTAAATTAAGAAGTCATATGAGTGTTGTAACCCGACGGGAGCTAGGCAAGGCTTAGCCCTTAATGCCAATGACTAAGTTTCACTTAAAAAGGAACTTGAGCATCCATCCATACAGCTCTTCCTGATTACGCCACTAACTCTTATGTTGGTGTAATTTATTAATATCAATATTAATAGTAGATATTAATGTTATATCTGAGTTAATCGAATCCTCCGAAACTGGTATGATGGTATTCAAAGATTTCCATGACAATTTTAAAATTGTTCTCAGTCAAAAATTAATTAGGATGATATTTCTTAGTTTTTTTTTCGCATCTATATCTAGTCAGACAAACAATGAGTTGAATTTCTCAAGCGCACTCTCATATTTGCTCGAAGTCTTTAGCTAACAATGCAAGAGTTTGTACTGATGAGCTCAGATGTTGACCATGTTCGGGCCAAACGATCGCTTTTACCAAGAAACTAACTAATTTAAAATATGAACTACCCTTGGCGTACCTGGACAGAGATCCTTGAATTTCAAAATATGTGAAATTTAGGTTTAAAAATGAATCAGAAAAGGTTTGCTCCACTATTGTAAGGACAAAACATAGTATTGCTCGGGCCGATTAAGGGTTTTGAGGAGCCCTCTTTCATATGGCCCGAACAACACTATGTTTTGTCCTTACAATAGTGAAGTAAACCTTTTCTGATTCATTTTTAAACCTAAATTTCACATATCTTGAAATTCAAGGATCTCTGTCCAGGTACGCCAAGGATAGCTCATATTTTAAATTAGTTAGTTTCTTGGTGAAAGCGATCATTTGACCCGAACATGGTCAACCTCTGAGCTCATCAGCACAAACTCTTTCATTGTAAGAAGAAAATTTTAGAAAAAAATGTATATTCCGTAGTTTTAAGTTATACAAATCAATCAAAAAGATACTGTTGACGGTTCATTTTCAGTCAGTTAACAGTAAAGATATGTACCAGCAAACTTTGCGTATTTAACTATTTGATGGTTTGTAAAAATTGAACTCATATTCTATACGTATGGTAAAGGACGAGTGTTTGGTCTGTTAACAGTATGTTACAGCCATTGGAATACATCGTCAACATATCTGTAATCAAGCCATATTTATACCGTAAATGATCCTAACCGTATTCTAAATCAGAACTTACAGAGGAGTGTTTTCTTTACATACAATGAAATTCATTCAAATGCTTCCACTTTCATGGTTTTTTTTCTGTTCTCTGTTGAATCGTATACAGCTATTTACATACTGTATGGTAGGATTCAAATTGTTAACAACAAGTTTCGAGATCAAAACTCAAAGCTTTTTTATCTAGAGGAGTAGTACTTAGAAAAAAAGCTCTACTGTCATATTTAGCACTAACCTATTACGAAGAAATAAAGAATAAAGAATTACTGCAGTGCATAATCATTAATTTAGCATATTTGTATGATATTGTATAGTTAAATGGCAGATACAACGAACATTTATATTGTATCGTGAAAAAGCCTCATCATAGACTCTCAGATGCTACAGAGTGTACGACCGATTACATTGTATATTGCTTCATCTCAAAGCTTATAGACATATTAGTGAAAAGACTTTATGAAACAGTATAAAAATGAAGTATGAATAGTCTCAACTTACGATATTCTTTACACGGGTTAGTAAGCAGTTCGTAACTCACATGCAATTATGCCGTAAAATGGCATGTATAAAAGAAATTTTACAAATCACCATAAAGATACCGTATTTTATCCGTTTATAGACAGTTTTTTTCAATCCAGGTACTTGAATATAACTCGAAAAACTTTTTAGTTATTTCTATTCAGTAATCATTCTACATCAATTGCACAAAAGTTAGATCAAATTCTTTATGACACTATTTTGTACGTAGTGAAACAGAGTAGTGCTAGAACAAATAACAGCTAAATCATTCGATTTACGTCTTAATTAATCTTTAAATTAAGAAATATTCATTTTTTTTCTTTAAATTTTTATTCAATTTAAAACAAAAACTAACATAGAAAAGCACTCAAACTTGTACAACAAGAACAAATTCTAAGTATTCCAATATTTTCATATCTGTTTTTGTTTACTGAAATTGATAAACATATAGAATGATCAACAGCTATGAGCTACTGTCAATTAGTTCTCCATGATACAGGGTGTCCCATAAGTTGTGGCAGATTTTTTTAAATCTAATTTTTGATGATAATGAATACAAATCAAACTCAAACTTACATGTATCATACAACTTAACACGTACTTTTATTTCATATATTTTATTTGGATTAAATCATTGGATATACAAAAAAATAAAGAAATTGGTACATGTGCAGAATAAGCACACCATCAATGTGTTACAATATATATACTCCGACAAAAAAGTTTCACTCTGTATTTCTCATATATTGTCACTATAAAAATAAGTTATTTTGAAACTAATTACATATTCTGAAAGCCCACGGAGTTTTCTATCACTCTGTAGAATTAGGTTTTAGTTTTGACCTTTTCATTACCAAAATAAATTGAAGACAACTAAGGCACCCTGATGTCCAGATTCCCAGACTTGATCTTTTCTTCGTCATCAAAACTAGTTTTAAAAATTTTTCATCCGTATAGAATGATCTTTTTGAGAAAGTAACTATAGATTCTGATAGAGCTTAAAATTCTCTATCACCCTGTCTATTTACTTATTTTCTTGCATTCATAGATTGAAATAAAATTGAATACAATGAATATACTTCGAATCGACTAGCCCAAAAAATTTGCATTTTTTCCCTACTTAAATTTAAGACACTGTATTAATACATAATATCATAGAGAATTTCAAGTGCTATCAGAATGTGTGATTTCTTTTGTAAAAACTTACTCCCATAGGAATAGTAACTGGAGAAAAAAACTAACAAAGTAGTGAAAAAATGCACACTTTTGATATTTGTCAATTGAGGGTATGTTCATTGAATTTGTTTATTTTCTTGTATATTCAATGATCTAATCCAAATAAAATATATGAAATAAAAGTACATGTTAAGCCGTATCATATGTGTAAGTTTGAGCTTAATTTGTATTCATTATCATCAAAAATTAGATTTAAAAAAATCTGCCACAACTTATGGGACACCCTGTATCTTCTAGTATATAAACAAAAGATATCTCTTTTATTTCCTCGATAGTGAAAGCAAAGAGAAAAGAACGATATAGCACCATTGATATGTCTTAGCTAGCTGCAAACTACAATAAACATCTAGTACTTTAGCTAAGAATATTCATATATCAATTATCTTAATCTTTAACTCATGAAAAAAACAAGAAAGCTTAATACGTTGTATCAATATCATGTATTGAAAGAATGAAATGATAACAGAAATGAATAAAGAAAAAACAAGAAGAAGAAATTAATATGAATGTGGGGAAAAAAGAATGGAATGAAATGAATTACATAATAAGCAATCGAACAAATCAAATATGGAAAAGTAAACAGAAAAAATAAACAGATCGCTATAGCAAAAAACTCGAAGAAATCAAAACTTAAGAGAAAAGACGTTTAGATATGTTCCTATTTCATGATCTCATCAAAATCACCATTTGTGAACAAAAAAAGATTATTTGCTCGAACTAATCATGTCACGATTTGGAAAGTGTTTCTTATAGTATATTGAATAACTCAAGAAAACAAAGAGCTCGCTATTAATCCAGAACAAAAAATTAAGAAATTCGTAAAAATTTGCGTTGCTAGCCAAATTTCGTGTTTAAATGAATAAAGATTTTAAACACAGCAAAACTACAAAACTAGTAAAAATAACTATAATAACTAATCCAAACATGTAAATTTTGCAAGAATAGACACATTTTAATGAAATTTGAATGTATTTTGCTAAGCTAGTATCGTGTGCCTATCTGTGTACTTAGTTATTGGAACTAGATCAAATTAATGCGGAGTTTTTATCTGAACATTTCGTGGTTATTGGCAAAATATTGAGAAGAATTCAGAGTTGAATTTGAGATGTTTTCGTTTTCGTTCAGTATTTTTATTCATCACGTATTTTATTATTGATGGAACAAAAATTAGGGTGATACATATATCTCTAAGACGTAGGGGAGTGTGAGTGATTCCAGAACTAGGGTCGAGTGTAAAGTTTAATCTATTGTCGATTCCTTGTCTCTTAGCAAGAGTGTGGACTCATAGTTCTTGAGAGACGTGATGACAAAAATGGCGACATATTGTATAGATGTATTCCAAAGTTTCGAATTCTATCTGTAATAAAGATGCAATGGAACATGAACGAATGAGACAGACTAAAAATAAATTTTAGAGAGCAGAAAAAAAGTTATATTCATAGTGGTTGTTTTTTTTTGATAGATGGAGATAGTTATCGGGTATTTGATTTATCAGTTGTGGAACAATTTTTCTCTAATTGAATATAATTTATAAAATTTTTTATGAACATTAAATTGTAGTTTATATATTATATTTTCAATTAATTTATTTTTCATTCGTCAATCACTTATATCCTCATTATATGTGTTCCTGTATTGGGAGTGTTATTTATTTATTTTTTTCTTTCTTTTCATTTTAATACGGCAATAATCATTTTTTTCTCTTCAATATTTAGATTATTATATCAACAAAACTATTTTTTACGAAAAAATGTCCAGCTACGGTCGAGATTCCGGTGGTGGCAGCGATGAGTGAGATTTAATTAATTAATAAAATTCATATTTCTTTAATATATATATATAGACATGGTGGTGGTTATTCAAATGATGATTATTCAGGACGAGGTGGTAATGATCGAAATAATTCTGATAGCAATAGGTGATTGTTTTCAAATATAAAAAAGTTGATTGAATCTATATTTGTGTATTAATATTGTTAGCGAACAAAAACGAAATTATTCCGATCATAATTCACGTGGTGGAGGAGGTGGAGGTAAGAAAATCTTTGTTGACTCTTGTATGTCGGTTTTTGAACTTCAAAAATTGACAATTCATACAGGATGATAAATGGTGGCAGCACACACTTTGTCCTCTCTGCAGGTTATGGAAGCGGAGGCGGTGGTTACAATCGTGGACGAAATGATAACGATGACAGTGGAAGTAGTGGCCACAATCGTCGAAATGATTATCACAGTAATAATAATGATAGTTATGGCGGTGGTGGTGGATATAATCGCGGTCGAAATAATTACCAGACTAATAGTAGTGGCAGTGGTGGTGGTGATGATTCTCGTATGGAAACACAACGTGATACAATTTTTATTCAAAATTTACCACGAAATGTCACTGCGTCAGAACTTAAAGATGTTTTTAGTCAAATTGGAATGATTAAAGTAGAATATTGAATTTTTCTTTTCCATAGTTGTCAGTGTGTTTTTTTCTTTTCAATAGATTGATAAAAAGACAGGTGCACCAAAAATTTGGATTTACAAAGATAAAGCAACCGGCGAAGGTAAAGGTGAAGCAACGATTACTTATGACGATGAAGAAGCAGCACAAGCTGCTATCAATTGGTATCATGGTAAGAATCTGTTATTATTTTGTGATTAATCATATTTATTTATTATTTGATTACGAATAGGAAAGGAAGTTCTCTCTAATATCGTCCAAATCTCTTTGGCTACTCGACGTGCTTCAGCATTTGGTGGCCGTGGTGGTTCACGAGGTCGTGGTGGATTCCGTGGTCGAGGTAAGAAGAAAATTATATATGGTTTCTTTTTAATATTTATTATTTTAGGAGGTGGCGGCGGCGGCGGCGGTGGTGGTAGTGATCATGGTGGCTACCGTGGTCGCGGTAAGTATCTTACGAAGAAACATATTCAACTGCTAATTGCCGATCGAAGTAGTATTTTACTCATAAGTAGGACTCAGTCAGACTAGAAAAACTCTGAAAGAACTTTCTTCATAAACGTTCCTTATGGAATTATGACCGTTCTTTTAAATTTTCGATTTATGATAAGATGTTCATAGAAAAATAAAAAAGAGGATTTCTCACTGAAAACTTCATCCATAAATAGATCCGTTAACCCTTAGAACATCTTGAAAGTTTATGTCAGAACGAATAGTTCCTTTTCAGTACATTGAATACTAAAGAAAGTTGGCTTTATGACTTTGTCGTGATATGATTGTTTTCTTTTGTATATTCAATATATTGAGAAGGAACCATGTGTTGTGGCTGAATCTTTCGGCATATTTTACCGATGAAAAGACCTGTTTATAGAAATTTTCAAGTGAAAAATCCTTTTCAATTTTTCTATGAAGATCTTACGTAAACCAAAAACCTAATAAAACAGTCAAGAAATCATAAAAAAAGTCTATGGAAAGAAATGCTTTCAGATTTTTTTCTTGTATCACTGAGTCCTACTTATGAGCACACTGTCATTTCTACAGGCAATTAGCAGTTGGATATGTTCTCTCATTAGAATTTTCAATCTATCCTACTTGTTTGTATTCACTCATAGGTGGAGATCGTGGCAGTGATTATCGAAGTGGTGGTGGTAGTGGGGGTGAATATCGAGGTAGTGGTCGTGGCGCAAGTCATGGTTCGAGTAGAGACAATCGTTCTAATCCATATTAAAAACCGAGGTATTTGAGTTTATGATTGCGTTGTCTGAATAAAACAATGACAGACATTTGCTACCACATGTGCACAGCGTACTGATGTCTTTTGTTCTTTTTTTCTTTTATTGTTTGTTTTTTTTCTATTGCTGCTCTAAGCTTTCTCTTTTTCATATATATCTTTGTCTTATGCGTTCAAAATACAAGATACAGACAGCAACAATCTACGTCGTTATGACTTGTATTTTTCTTTTTCTATATATGTAAATGTGTATGTATGTCTGTGTGTGTTTGACAACAAAATTAAAAAGAAGGAGAAAGAAAAAGAGGAATATATATCTAAATTGATTGCTTGATTGGTTGCTTTTTTTTGTCTTATAATGTTGCAGATGACGTTAAGAACATTAATTTATGGTGCTAGACAAATTGTTACGGTAACTCGTCATAATGATGAAAAATTTCTATGTGGAAAAGATATGCAAGCTATTGGAATAATAAAATCGGAAGCAGGTGGTTTAAGTTTAATGATTGAAAAGTGAGGAGAAAAAGCTTGTCTAATAAAAAGTAGGTGAAGGGTTTTCTAATTCTTACTAATCTTATTACTATCTAAAATAAAATAATGAAGAAGTTAGAAATAACTGCTAAATATTGATATACATTTTTATTCTACTATAGTGAAAATATTGTCGCCATTGGAACTGATGATGATATTGCTCGAGAATTTGAAGGAATGGAAGTAGATAAAAAGATTGATGCATCTGGATGTTGTATTCTACCAGGTTAGATGCGAAGTTAAAATTTATTTATCAAAATGATTATAAATATTTATTTATTAAGGTTTTGTTGATGCACATACACATCCAATATGGGCAGGTGATCGAGTTCATGAATACGCGAAAAAAGTATTTATCTGTAGATCTTTTTTTTTCACCATCGAATTGTCTATCGTGGTGTAAAATAGTTGGCAGGTGCTACTTATATGGAAATTATGCGTGAAGGTGGTGGTATTGGTTTTACAGTTGAACAAACAAAATTAGCTACAGATAAAGAACTTCTTGTTTCGTTGGTTGCTCGTTTGAAACGTATGCTTCATGCTGGTAAGTCTTCATTTCTTTTGAACATTTCTCTATTGTTCGATTATTAGGTACGACCCATGTTGAATGTAAAACAGGCTATGGACTTGAATGGCCTGATGAATCACGTCTGTTAAAACTTCTTGAACAAGCTCGTTCACATATACCTATCGGTATATCTATTACATATTGTGCAGCACATGCAGTTCCTAAGTATGAAAGATGAAAATGATTCTTGGATTGATTAAATTCAAATGTTTTATTTAGAAATAAAACAGCCGAAGATATGACAGAAGATATTGTAAATAAACAAATAAAAGCATTGAAAAAATTAATTGATAATAAAGAAATAAATGTTAATGATATTGATGTTTTTTGTGAAAAAGGTAAGTTTTATTTAAACAGATATTAGATGTGGTACAGGAATTGAACTTATTAACAGCTATAAAAAAAATTCATATTTCCTTTAATTAGTTACTACATTCCGTAATGCTGAGGAGGACAACATAATACTTAGGATGTAGAATGTCGATTTTCTCTTCAGCCACAGTCGCAATCACACGCCATGCACTAACATTAGACAGGTTCTCATTCATGCCTATCCAATCTACACCCCAACACTACACTATCTTACTTCACAGTACATCTTAATGAAAATGCATATTGCTTAATATTATGGAATTATTCTGTTAGATTATTTACAAATGTGAAATTGTTGATTAGGTGTGTATGATATTGAACAAAGTCGTCGAATACTTCTTGCTGGTAAACAAATCGGACTTGGAATAAATTTTCATGGTGATGAACTTAATTATACAGGTTCAGCTGAAGTAGGTTGTTTCTTTGTTTGTTTTGTGTTGAGATTTTTTATTTGTTTTTTTTTGAATAGATGGGAGCTGAAATTGGTGCACGAGCTATTAGTCATTTAGAATGTATTTCTGATGAAGGTATTCATGCTATGGCCAATGCAAAGACAATTGCGGTTATTCTACCTCATACCGGATATATATTAAGAATTAAGATGCCACCTGTACGACAGATGATTGATGCTGGAGTACCAGTAGCTTTAGGAACAGATGCAAACCCGAATGCTTTTTCATCAGCTATGGTCTGTTGGTTGTGTTCATGATTAGGATGAAAAATTTCGTTTTTCATTTGCTTATTTTTCTAGCCTATATCAATGAATTTGGCTTGTATTTTATGTCACATGAGTTTAGAAGAAGCATTAGCAGCTGCAACAATCAATAGTGCTGCTGCATTGGGCATATCGGACAAATATGGATCACTTGAAGTAGGAAAAAAGGCAGATCTGATTATATGTCGATGTCCATCGTAAGATACTGACTCATCTGTCTCTTTTTTTTTTCAATTCCTTTTCATTTGTTTAGATGGGAACACATTATTTATCAATTTGGTGATCATACTCATCTAATTCGTTATGTACTCAAACATGGTGTAGTTGTGTATACAAAAAGTGCATAATTATCATTACTCATTTTTAATTAATTAATAAGGACTAATTATTATAGCGTAGTAGTTTATTCGATAATATTAAATATATTTTATGCATCGCTTGTATTTTTTTTCTGAATATGCTGCCTAGCTTTAATTTTATAAGAAAATAGTCAAGTTCTATAATTCTGCTAATAAATAACTAGTTTATAATAGTAATTATATAGTAAAGTACATAGTTGTTCAGTGTCTTTATTTATCATTCAAATGATCTACAAGTATTTTTATTCTCGTATAGAGTAAAATATCAATCTTTTTTAAATACTTTTGTTCATGATGATAGGTCTTTTTACATTGAAAAAACAATATGATTATACGAACAATCATGGATAAGGTTTTAATTTTTTTGATATTGTTTATCATTGATGATTTACTATTTTTTCAAAAGACACTGAAGTGTTCAGTTTTTATCATAGGAAGCTGCAGCGAAATTTCTATCCCTCAAAATATATCTGACTTTTCACAAATAGACTAAAATTTAACAGATTTCTGAAAGAAATGTCGATTATACTACCATAGTTTTCAAAAATCTTTCATGATTCTTTTTTAAAGTTTCTAGTTTTTGAAAGACTACTTTTTTTATTGGCATCCGCATTGTATAAACATTCTTATATAGTTTCAGCACAACAAATAGTGTTACCTTACGTCATCTGTTACCTGCTTTAAAAAATATCACTGGAATATATATTTTTTTTCTCGGAATATGGTTTTCAATTAGAAAAATTGAAACTGATCCCACCCATTTCAAAATAGAACCAATATTTTTTTTGTTTAAAAGGCCTCAACAAGTATACTTTTGTCCGAGCAGGTATTTTTTTATCCTTGATTTCTGTATCGAGGAAAACGAGATTTAATGCTTTGGAGTAACATTTCTTTTCGCTTATTTGAACACCCTATAACTAACAAGATCATAGAAAATGAATCAAAACACATTTCCATATTCTGCTCGGATAATAACTGCATGGTAGATATTGGCTTTCATTTAAAATTAACATATGCTCTCGATGTCTGGCAGTGATAAAGTTATAACGATTCACCTTAAATTCATAGATGGACTATGAATAAATTAAAGTTTCGTTCTAATTTAGTGTATTGAGCTGAAGCTTTCACGAAAAGCGTTTCTCACTGGAGCCACTCTTTCCTGATAACTTCAGCTCAAATAAACCCTTCTCAGTCGTAAACATATTCTGAAGAGTGATCCTTGAGTGAAATACTCTTCTATGCAAATATGTTTTAAATTAAAGAAATGAAATTTCTGAATGAATAGATCTTTTCAATTTTTTTATTACTTGATCTTTAAGTAGTTTACGATGCATGCTTTGTCTCATACCTTTAGTACGATTTCCTAATAAAAGAATCTGAAAATTTCAAGTTGCATTTATAGGTTATTTTATTCTAAAAGTATGATAGAATTAGATGAAATAAGACAAGATCGACTATTCCTTTTAGTTGTTAATAAAATTACATTAGACTAAGCAAACAATGATATTAAAAAACTAACCGATGTTTTTATATTCTTCTTACTCTTTGAAACTAGTATATCTTACAAGATATGATGTTCGTAATAAACAAAGAACGACTTAGAAAGTAGCTTTTTATTTTTCAAATAAACTATGAGAAAAGCAGTGTTACAATATTTCTGCATAGGAAGATACTTTTTCATCAATTTATATAGTTTTAAGACAATGATGAAATAATGAGATTTGTTTGACTTGTCGTACAATCACTGATTACAAAAAAAAATGAAATACTTTGTTTTAATATGAAACATAAAAACTTAAATAAATCGCAATCAAACATCATCAAAAAAAAAAATTCTATCGTATCTGACTACAAATTAGTAAATTGTAAAAGTTTGTTGCTCTCAGCTATAAATTGATAATGGCACAAGCGTCTCACGAGTTACATTAATCATTAATCTTCTTGGCGGTCGTCGAATAACAGACGCATCTATTCGCATCTTCGCTCTATTTAATAATCTGTCAGCTGTTGCTAAAGTTGGGGCATTACCATTGGTCCTATTAGTACGAATAGCGGGTAGTGTTGTTTTTGTTTCAAATGGTATTTGAAATTCTGAAGATTTCTCCATCGAAGTTTGTAATACAAGTTGTTCCGACGGTAATAACTCACTACTTCGTAAATAACGGATAACGCTTGGTACTAAAATATTCATTATTTCAAATTTATACACTAAATAAAAGGAAATAAATTGACCTAAGAATTTCTTCCATCCCTGAATATTTGGTGTTTCAATATGAACAGCATTCGCTGGTATTAATTCAGGACAACATTCTTCTTTTGTTGTAATACTTTCGTTTGCATGAGCAATAGATCGTCTGCGTTGTGTATATGGATCTTTTGTCATTGATTTTTTGATTTTTTCTCGAGTAAAAAGTTGTTTATATTCAGGTTTCCATGGGTGATATTGAACAGGTGGATAAGAATTTTCGGATACTTCGATAACAGTTCGTACACCTATAGTTTTTGATTGAGTCGAACGAAGAGGAGACAATGATCTTAATAGAGTTGAATCGATGTAAGTCCAAGAATAAGTAAAAAAGATAATTACCCTGGTTTTCTAATTGAACGTTGTGCATTTGCATTGCCAGAATATAGGGAACCTGAGACACTAGATGGTTTAGAGGATGAAAAGTTTTTGATACGTTTCGATTTAGACGAATTAGCAGGTTTTTTCAACATTACACTACTATCTTAACAAAAATATGATCAACAACACAACGGTAGCTGTGCTTTTTTTATTTGTCGGCAAAAATGAAAGAGAATGAGATGTTGAAGAGGTACAATATTTTTTCCACTTGAGCGTGTGGAACACTACTAATGAGAGAACGAGAGAAGAAACACTTGTCTATATGTCATCTATTTTTTTCAGCTCGATACACTTCTATACTTGACACACCTGAGATTGCTTCGATTTATAATCTAGCACTTACAATTGTGATCATCACAAACTAAACTGTTCTTGTTATTTTAAATCTGTTCCGTTGTTTTACCTGACACTTTTATTTTTATAAGAAACGAAAAGTTTAAAAGCAATCTACTTTTCTTTTACTCTCATCACTTTTGAATAGAAAAAAAAAACATTCTATCGATTAATCGCTCATCAAAGTAACATCTATGTGCTGACTTAACACAAAAAAGTCGTGGAAGCATGAGGTACGAAAATAATCTCTTCAGAAAAAAAGTACTTAAATAAAATCATCGTGGATCATATCTTCTATTAAATAATGTATTTTCGATTACATTGAAAACAACTCATCGAAGTCGTCGGATATAAATAAATATCGATAGAAATCATCTTGTTGTTGTTAATGAATATTTGGAAAAAAGTTTATAACTTAATTGATGTGTTCTTTTCTCTCGATGAAACTCATGTAAAATTATTGATGATGTTTAATTGATGCGATCGAATTAACTAACATGTGTCTGTATAAAAAAATCATCAACATGAAATTCAAGTTTATCGAGTATTTATTTTTAATAATGTCATCATCTATACAAATGGTAATTTTTTTATTTTTCTTCATTAGATAGATAGGAAAAAACTCTTTTTTTTTGTTGTTCAGATGACAAAAGAACACAAACAAGAATATCTTGCATTGATTATTAGACAAAAAACTGCAGCACTTGAACGAAACAAACAAAGATCACACAGATACATAACAACTTGTCAAAATGAAGAAGAACTATTAAGGTAAAAATTATATCTTGAATTTTTCATGAAATCTTTTTTTTTATTATTTTAGTCTTTCTAATCAGCCAATATGTAAACCAAAGAAATTAAAAACGGAAGAAGCAGTACCCATGACAGATGAAGATTTTCTTATTGCAGAACTCAATGGTCATTTTCAATAATAGAAACATATGTCCTATATAAAAACTTTGCGTCATATAAATGTAATATAGTGCGCGTAATAATAATAATAAATAAAACTAAAAAATTATTATCTTTAAGTTAACAACATTTTTCTTATACTTAAGTTTTATGTTCATAAACAGACTTCATTTTTTTTTCTATCTATCCTTACTAGTTGATAGTCAACGGTATTATGCATTTGTTGAAACTTTATTTGTTATTGATCAAAATTATTTTCCAAGATTATCAGAAATATCTTATGATGATTATATACGTACTATTGTTGATACAACAAATATTGTAAAGAGATAAAAACTTATTTAGTCATAGGCTATATTTATTATAGGTATTTCAATCACAAAATGATCTTGATATTAAAATAGAAATAATCATTTCAAATATAGTTTATTTAAATATTGTTCAACCAAAATCACAAGAACCATATGCATATGAATCCATTCTTAGACAATCCGTATCAGATTATGAGAGGTAAAACAAGAAGAAAGTAGCAATATCAATAAAGCGAGTGTTTTTTTTAACTATATGTTCGCTAAAAGTGTTGTTTTGTATTACACGTTGAAATCTGTATCATGGCGAAGAGTTCAAGGTCGAAGTTCGAAATAATGTTATGTTTCATGAAATTATGAATGAAATTGATCATTAAAGCCGAATTCTATGGCGTCATATGTTGATGATCGAGATATACAAGAATAGGGCCAAGGCAGCGCTAAGATAAAAATTTGAAATATCATGACTTCAATTCGGTCAAAGAGGCTTATTTTTAGATAGCATTAGAAACTTATTTTAAGTTTTCTTTCATGTGAATAATGGAAACAAATACTAGGTAAAGTTATTTATTTGACTTCAATAAAGTTGTTCCTATTGTCAAGTAAGAAGAGTATGTATAGTGCGTTTCATAGATAATTTTCCATTGGTATGTGAATGAATAAGAAATAGTCAAAACGAACTATGTTGATGCACATAGAGTAAGTCTTAAAAATGAGTTGTTAGTTTAAAAACTGACATTCATGTTGGTGAAGTAAAGCGCATTACTGTAGCCCTTTAGATACTAAGTTCCTTGGAAAAAATTAGTGTTTCAGGTTTAAAAATTCGAAATTTCGCAATTATAGACTACTAAACAAACTAGTTCTGAAAATTTGCTATATATACATCAATATATCGTATTTTCCATAAAGTTCGTTTTGACTTGTCACAAATTATATTAAATGAGAACTCAAAATTATCTATTATCCGTATACAAAAAAAGCAGTAAATAAACTTCCACTACTACGTACAAAATCAGTCCATTTGATTGAAACGACGCGAAGATATTTCATGTTTTTTTCGTATTACTATCTATAACTCACCTTGTATATTGAAAAGAAAAACATTCCATAAATCTTATCTAATTCGAGTAGTTTCGTTATTTAGTCATAGTGTTTATTTCTTTGCGTATGCTTCAAATTCACAATTATAAAGAAAATGAAAATTTTAAGCTGTCGACTGTTTTAGATCTGCACTCAATCGAATTCGAGTACATATTCAGATTGAACTTCAGACTCGATTTGTGTTCCGCTTCATGTCTCAATAGAAAATGACTGATGTCAGCATAGTGTGATAAAACGATTAGACTACTACATCTGTGAACAGCTAATCAATAGTTGAAGTTTTGATCCATCATTCTTCATATCGAGAGTTCCCTAAATGGAACATTGCCTTGATCTATATCTAGCTAACAACTAATAAAAATTTGGATTCAAATCATGTCTTTAAAGAAGGTCAGACATGTAATTCATTATATTCGAAAATTTGATGCTCGATGATCTTTCTTTCGAAAATATCTTGAAAAATAAAGAAAAAAAGTCAATTTTACTAATATTCTGATTGTGATAGATACGATTCTATTGTATTACTTTGGTACCAACCTTGGGAAGGACCTCATGGTGCTCAAGGTTATGCAATATTAAAAGGAGCTTGCCATCCAAGTTATAGTAAGTCAGATTTTTTTTTTTGTTTTTTATTAAATACTGAACTATTCTCAAAAGAAATTATGTATGTACTTCCATATCAAAATGCAGCATTTTATCTTGCTCATGAATTCGGTCATCAACTTGGACTTAATCATCAAGTTGATACTCCATGTTTTACAACATCATATATGTCAGTTATGACAAAATCACATACAGCTTCCTACGAACAAGCACGTTGGACAAAATGTGAAAATAATTGGATTAATGAAAATATTTGTCTATTCGAATGTCTATTCAATAAACCAGATAATTATCAACCAATTAAAAACAAATATTCAACATTACCTGGAAAACGTATGAGTAATGATCAACAAGCAAAAATGATTGAACCTAATTCACGAAGTCTGGGAGAAGTTTCATCTTTTACATTTATGCCATCCAATTTAGCTAGTCGATGTTTATATTTACGTTATTATATCGGAGGATCGAATGGTGGTATGTTTTATTTCAATAAATATTTTTTTTATTCATTTTATATAAGAATAATAAATTTTAGAATATAAATATGCTTATAGTCCGATGTTACCAGGTTCAGAGTGTGGTGAAAATTCGATATGTTATCTGGATAAGTGTGTTTCCAAGAATGATATTAATCCATCATTATTTAATAATGATTTTGATACTGAAATACTTTATTTAAATACACATTGTAGTTCTAGTAATAATCCAAAAGAATTATCAGCTAGTAATTATGATTCACGTCATAATATTGAATGCATTGATTGGGAAAATGATTTTCTATGTGAACCATCCCAAAGCTGTCCAAAACCTGATGATTCAAGCACACTTGATCTTTATATAAAACATGTATGTTGTGCAAAATGTTCATCAAAGGTTAATTCTATTATTACTCTATTCAATCAAGCAAGAGTATATCGAACATCTCCAATGTTTTTATTGATCATTTTAACAAGTCTTTCTTTTTTCACATATAAACTTACTAAAATACTTTGATGTCTTTATTTGATTTCAATAAAATTAAAATAAAAAAAAAGAATTAAACGTTTTTTTTTACTTGTATTAATCTCATTGATTTTGAATTATTTGTGATGATTAATGTAACAAAAGCAGTCAATACATCATTTGATTGAACAATCGAATAGTAATGACTGTTAATATGAGTGAAAATGTTATATCAGATTGAATTGAGTTTTCGATTTTATCTGTTAAATCAAATGACATAGTCAGTAGTATTGCATGTATAAAAAAGAATTGAAACATAATTATCAGTACCGGGTTCAAAATGATGATGCTTGATATAAATTAAAAGTAAGACTTTCAAGAATGTATTAATAGTCTTTAAAAAGGATTATCACAACAATATTTCATATTAAAGACGAGAATTTTCATTTTATTGATTTAATTCGATTTAATTCTTAAGGAATTTCTTTGTATAAAAGTAGAATATGCAATAATTTTTCTAACCACATTACTATAAATGTATATTCGATTGATTTAGAGGGCAGTGAGGATTCATTTGGTTTATGGCCTTGAATATGTATATCACTCCTTCTCTTATGTTAATATACGTATAGTAATAACAAAAAAACAACAATAATAAGAGGCCTTATTATAACAAGAGATATAAACAAAAATCATTGTTTAAATGTCTACATATATATATATTTCTTTTGTGTGGGATTGATGTTTTATCATCACTAATCAACAATGAAAGTTAGGTTTTTGTCACCATGATTGTTTCATATCGAAATGTTTAAATAGTATAAAAACGCGGTATATATTACATTGGAGTATATAGTTATTTCAAGGGTAATGTCTATCAATCGCCTTTGACTTATGCACACATAAGAATGAAAAATAAATGAATAAGCAAGTGATGCACATCGTCAACAATCATACATAGTAGAAGTTGTCCTTGATTGTGTTAGCTGTAGTACGTGAATGTAATTTTTTTTGTTTGTTTGTGTGTATATCAAATGTAAGAGCAGTGATAACTCGTAAAGGACAGACGAAAGAAATATAAATTGCACACTCGACTAACCACCAGGTATGGATGAAGAAACAGACGTCATCAGCTCTTTCTCTTGCTGAATATAAACTGGGATACAGTATCTTTTTTTGTACATTTTCTATAACTAAACGCGGTTTTGATTCATATAGAAAGAATGTAACAGATTGGTTATCCGATATAACATACTACTTTTTAATCTTTAGATCGTTTTTATCTTGAAAAAAGTGGTAATAACCTGAGATATGTCCTTTGAACAAGCTTCATCATCATTTTATCAAAGTAGTTCCGATGACGGTAGGTATTTTTTTTCCTTTTAAAGACGATTTTTCATTAAAAAAAAAAGTATATATATATATATATATATAAACACTTTATCTGTACTTATATAATTTATCAGTAGTTGCCGACGGATACGATGTTGCATATGGTGGAGATTTACAAGCTGGATTAGGAGGCTATTCAAGTTATGAAGCAGCATCTGCAGCAGAATACGGAGCTGGAGCTGGTGAGGTAGTTCTAGGTGGTGGTGGGGGTATTAGTGGTGAATACTATTCATCATCCATTGGTGGTCTCGGTCTGCAAGGCGCTTCTGACGCATTATTAGTCAGTGGTGGTTATAGTTCTGGCGCTCTTGAACAACAAGCAGCTTCCGTAGCATCACATTATGCAGTTGATGCTCAAGGTCTCTATCAAGATCCTAATCCTCAAATTATTCGTCGACCAGCACCAGGTGGTCCACAAACATATACTCAAAGAGTTCAAGTTAGATTTTTACAACCACCACCAGTTCCTGCACCAGGTGTAAGTATTTCAAATAGCAATTGTTTATAATGAATAGAAAAATAATTTTTTTTTTACATAATTTTAGCCTCTTATCATTAAAGAAGTTCGTCCACCTCAACCACCCCCACCACCACCACTTTTCATTCGTAAGTAGATCAATATTTAAAACAATTTATGTTGAAAACATCTAATGATGTAGGACAACGTCCACCACCACCACCTGTATTACCACCTATTGTCATTCGTGAAGCTCCACCTAGATTACCACCACCAGTACCCACACAAGGTAAAATAGTTAATAATAGTATTAACAGTATAAGAAATTTTCGATTTTCTAGTACTTACTAAGATGCTTCCAGCAATACCTGTACCACCTCGTTCAGTCATTATCGAACGTTTACCACCTCTTCCACCTAAACCACGTGATGTTATCGTTGAACGTTGGTTACCGTATCGCGTTCAACAAAAACGCCGTGTTATTATCCAACGGGCTCCACCTCCAGTGCTTCCAAAACCACGCAATATCATTATTTAGTATGTATAGAATATTGATAGATTGAATAATATATATACTTATTATTATTGATTCATAGTTATGAACCACCTAAGGCTCAGGTTGTTCGTCGATTTATCAATATGGGTGTTTCACGTGCTAATCCAGTTGAATATGTTGCACGTTATGGAACTCAATTGGAAGATTCTACCTCACTTATTACACATGCGCGACAAGCTGGTGTTGTTGAAGATATTGTTCGTATAATTTATATCATAAAATCGAATACCATTGTTTGTTTGTTTAGACACCACCTGGTGGTGCATTAGCTAGCTATCAAGCAGCTGGTTATGAAAACTATCTATCAGGTGGTCTTGGTGCTGGTGCTGCTGTATACGGTGTTAGTGGTGGCCTTGCAGGAGTAGGAGGTGCTGGCTATGAAATCTCTGGCGATCTTTCAACAGTTGGAGGTGCTGCTTATACTTTAGGTGGTGGTGCTGGCTATACTTTAGGTGGTGGTGCTGGCTATAGTGTACTTGGTGGCGCTGGTGGTTACAGTAGCAGTTTTGAATCATCAACCGGTGATTTGGGTCTTGCGGGTTATACAACTGGTCTTGGTGGCGGTAGTGGCTATGAAACATATTCATCTGAACAAATATATGGTTGAAAAAAGAGACATATTTTTACTCTTTCTTTTTTCTGTGATAACCCAACTAACCAAATCATTTTCAAATAAACTTGATTATGGCTATATAATTTTATAATATGGCGATTAAATTGTTTAGCTCAGTTTTGCAATTAAAAATAAGTCTAATTGGCATATAATATTGGATAGTTCTATGTGAAAGTACACCCCCTACCACTGATATTGCTGTATTTGTTTACTATGAAAAAGTATTAAACCAATTGAATGATACAGAACGAAGAAATAGAAATTATTTTTCATTTTCACAAAAAAAAAACAGTGTGGCATGAAATATTCTACCTTTAAAGTTAACCTTTCATTAAAAAAAACGGAAAAAGAAATTACTAGTAATGACACGACATTCAACATATGCATGAAATTTTCAATGCTCTCCGATAGTATCTTCTATGTATTGAAGGTTACTAGGTTATGAAGAAGAAATATCATTGAACAAAACATTGTTCATATCTTGTCTATTTCTAGCTAGTGATTCAATGATCATTGTGAATAAGCTTCAAAAAAGAATGTATATAAATAATTTTAGCTTTTAATAATATACAATGATTGAAAAGTTTAAGATTTGATTTAAGAAAGAAAAACATTTCATTTCAGATGTATATGAAACTTAATGAATAAAAAAAGTATTCAAAGTATAATAATAATTCTTAATAGTCATTTTCTTCTCATAGAAAAAAAAAATTACTTTTTGTTTATACTATAGAACTTTTAAAAAAAGCTGATCAAATTAAGCAATTAGATTCACAAAATAATTCTAAAGAAAAAATCGATATTTATCATGAAGCAGCACAAGCATGTCAATCTATTGGTAATTATCTTAAGTAGTAAAAAAAAATAAAATAAAACTATGATTATTATCTTTTTTTTTTAATCAGGCAACTATGATGAAGCAATAAAATATTACAATCTCGAATTATATGAATCTCAATTAGCTGATTTACATGATGATATTCTTTACTGTTATCGATTTTTAGGTGAATGTTATTTATACAAAAATGAATTTTATACAAGTGAAAGATATCATTTAAATTTTTTATCATTAGCAAAACAGTATGATAATGATGAACGTATTGAACAAGCATATACATGTTTAGCAAATACATATTGGATATGGTTAAGTTATTTACAAGATGATATACTTTACGATTGTAAATATGATCAGTTTCCACGTGATTTATGTAAACGAAGTTTAGATGCAGCAAAAAATAGTTTATTAATTATTAAAAAACTTGATGATAAATTAGAAATTAATGTAAGAGAAAAACATTTATTTAGAGTAAAAAATATTGAACAAAGACAACAAGATTTAGCATTAAGACGTGTTAGAAGTTATATAAATATTGGTAAAATTTGAAAGCACTTTGAAAGCAATTTATTTTTAGAACATGATTTTTCTTTCTGTTTTGTTTCTTTAGCGAATGCTATGGGTGAAAAATATATAAACGACGGTAAAGATAATGCAAATCTTCAAGCTTTTAGTCAATATATTAAAAATGCTGTAGAACTTTCGAAGTAAATCTTGGAACTGTCGTTTTTTTTTCTTTTTAATAAGTGGTTTATTACGAATTTTTAGAAAGTATAATTTTTATGAAGAATTAACACGTCTTCATTCGTCTCTATCAGGCTTTTATCTTTTCTTACCAAACTATTTACAGTATAAAAAAGAAATCATTGCTACTATGAAACAAGCGATACATTATGCTCAATTAACAAAAAATGCCAATGAATATCTATCATGTTTATATGATATAGCTCAAGTAAAATTTTGGAATTTTAGGATATTGAACTGATAATTTAGATGTATAGGTGTGGTAATAAATCTTGATTGCAAGCATCAATCCAATTCTCATCAATTCATATGTACTGGTGTTATGATTCAGACTTCGTCTTCCTTTGATGATTCTCTAAACAGTGTTAGCAATTCCTTTAAAATAACTGAAATATCGTTTTCTCAAAAAGAATGCCTGTTGAAGAGTAAATGCCAACTCTTAAGACGATGGATATTTTTCACGATGAGTTTGATTAATTTATTTGAAAATTATAGTAGGGTGTGAAATTACAAAATGACAAACAAAAACTTTTTGCGTGTATATGTCTGTTGAATATACTTTTCAAAAGGAAAAGAAGATGTTTGAATCACAAGTAAAGGACATGTAAAGCAATGCAGAACGCATTGCTACCTATGATCACAGTTTATTGTCGTACGCATGCACTCAAAATATGAACTTAATATCGTGAAGAATAATAGCCATACACACAGAGCAGCTATTATTCTTATCCAAGACTGTATATGTTGCAAATCAAAAGTAGCTTATCTAAGAACTCTCAGATGTGATCTATCACTATTGAACTTTTAATTTGAACATATAGAAAAAGAAGACACCCCTTACTTCGGCTAGTGTTGGCAGTGTAAGAATGGTGTTTAGATAGTTTCAATAGGTCTTATATCTTTTCTAAAGTTGACAAACTTCAAAAGGGGGCACCTATCTCCTTAATCGCTTTGCTCATTCACCTTCCTATATACATTTATGATCGGCATACTAGCCATCTTCAGAATATATATATAGTATAAGGATAAATTGCAAGATAACTTCATAATTATTAAGGTGATCCCAATGTTTGATGACAGTACATTTAACGTACGTGATGAATCTCATATGTATTCAACAAGAGCTATGAACATGTAAAACAAATGTCCACTTGAAAATAATTCCCAATGGATTCGAACCTACATGTCTCCTGTGCAATACGATAACAGTGTTACTCATTTTTTATGCTGAGCTAGTATATTGACAGAAATATTCAATAACCAATTTTTGATCTGAAATTTTGTCTATAAGAAGGTCTCATAATTCTACAAACACCGTGAAAATTTCAAGTAAAACAACTGCTTTATTTTTTGAAATATTCAATATTCAAAACTGATTAGATTTTAGAATCAGTCTAAAATATCGGAAACCTTCAAACGTTGAGTATTTCAAGAAGAAAGAAATGATTTTGACTAAAACGTCTAGAATATTCCTAGAAGTCTTTCCTAACTATCTAAATTCAGGATATATAAGGTGAACTTCCTTTTTTTGCATTATATCACTTATGAATGTATAGGATAATAAACAATGTATAGACTGTTCAGCAGAAGAATATATTTTCTATCCACTGAAAATAGCTTTCCATCCAGGAGATGTATTAAGCATAGATAGTTATTCTAACCCTGGCTGCAATCCTAGACACAAAAATATTTTGTGGCATTCATATGCGCTTTTACTATGATATTTTAAACAATATCGATTTGACACTTAATATTCGCTAAGAGTGTTAAGCAGGATATGAATGATTCTTTTTCAAGTAAAAATTACAAATTTCTAAAGAAATATTTCATTTAGACATTGATTTCATTCGATCAATATGAAGATGCTAAATTTTATCTCACGAAAATTTATCGTTATAAAAAAATTGATGATTCATTAAGAGAAAAAGCGTTTCAAGATTTAGCTAATGGTATATAGATTTTTTTGTTTTTTGTTTTCTTTATTTTTTGAATTATTTTCTGAATATTTCAGTTCAACATATACTTGAAGGTCTTGAAAATCTGTATGCAAAAGAAACTGATTTAAGAAAAAAAATCTATTTAGCAGAGAAATGTGCTGATACATTTTCTCATCTTAGTCGATATGAACAAAGCAAAAACTATTATCTTAAACAAGTAAATATTAAAAAAAAAAAAATAATTTTGATTAAAAATAATCATTTTAATTTTAGTTAAAACATGCTCAAGAATTAAATTTAGATGAAAATCAAATGGCAACTATTTATTCATCACTTGGTTGTATTTATCAAGATTTAAAAGAATGGCAGTTAAGTATTGATTATTTTCGACGTGAAATGAGTTGTCGTATTGGTTTAGATGCTAATGCTGATATTGAAGTATAATATCGTTTTTTTAATAAATATTTATAAAAATTTTTGATTTCTTAGCAAGGTTATTCACTTTGTGAAATAATTAAATGTGAATATCGTCTTAAAATCGATCTTAATGCACGAATAAGAACATTTGAACGAGTATTAATTATTGCACGATCGACAAATGATAAAAATTTAATTGTAAAAGTTTTAATTAATTTAAATAAATATTCAATTTACTTGTTTGTTATTTCTTTCGAATAGAGAATGACAGTTGCACTTGTATTTGCTATGAAATTACGTGATTCACATATATATTTAAATGATGATTTAGAAGAATTTATGGCGAATATTCAACCACCTATAACTGAAGAAAACTATAGTGAAATTTTACGATGTTCTGAACATTGTTCTAATGAAATTACAAATTTAACAGAATCAGATGAAAATCTAACAGATAGTGCTGATAGCATAGAAGAAAATCACAAAATAATACAACATAGGAAAGGTTTAATGGTAATTTATCGTATTTTTATTTTGACTAACACAATGATGTTCTGTTATTTCTTTTTTCTAGAAAATATATTCTTCTCATGAAAATCGTCTACATTTAGCATGTAAAGAAAAAAATGGTTTAGAAAAAATCAAACAATATATTATTGAAGGGGTTATTAATGTACATATTTTAGTCAATCAATACTTAATTTCTTTTACATTTAGGACAATATCAATATTCCTAATTCTTATGGTTGGACACCATTACATAATGCCGTTAATTATGGACATGTTGATATTGTTCGATATCTTCTTGATCATAAAGCAAATATTAATGCAAAAACCAATAATGGCATAACTGCTCTTATTAGTGCATGTTATAATAAATATTTAGATATTATTGAAATCTTGCTGATATACGATGCACAAATTGATATTCGTACAAATAATGTTTGATCTTTTCGTTTTTTGTTTTTCTTGACTTTCTTTTTTTGTTTGTATTATTATTTTAGGGTTACACAGCTGTTGATTATTTAACTGATTGTAATAAAAATATATCATCAGATGATCATTGGAAATTGAATCGTTTCAAAGAACTACTTTTAGCTGCTCTACGAAGTATGAAAATGTTTTTGAAATAGATCATAACAAAAATTTTTAATGTTTAGAAAATGAACCAATTTATTGTATACAACAAATTATTCGAAATGATTTTGATGGCAAACAAACGTTAGAATAAAGAAAAATTTTTAAATAAGAATAAAAAAATTATTTTATTATTTTAGAATATTGACAAATAGAAATTATATGAATAATCGATCTCATCATAAAACTATTCGAACAAGTCGTAATATGATAAAAAATCGACGAGTATGTTTAATATAATATTTGAGAAAAAGGAATCTTGAAAATTCTTTTTAGTTACGTCATAAAAAGAAAAAAAATACACATGATAATTGGGATACTGATGAAGATAGTTGGATTGTTAATGATCGTGAATGTATTGATATAATACCAAAAATACAAAGAGAACGATTACATTCACCATTCTATACACCTGTACGAAAACGACAATGTACAATGACTGATAATCAATCTTTACTATCAAATGATATTGAAATTTTTAACAATAATAATTTCGATTTCTTGATATCATTTCAAAAAGATTTACCTATTTCATCATTTCAAACAATGACACCAAAATCAACAATAAGATCTCGACAAGTATCAACAACATCATCAATCAATACAACAATCGTTCTTTCACCTTCTATCTTACATGATACAACTATAAGAATTATTCGATGTGCAGCTAATACAAGTGATCAAACAACTCAAGATAAAAGACTTAGAATACCAATGTAGGAAAAATCGATATGTTTTAATAATATTTCATTTTATTTTTCAGATCATCATCAGATACTGTAACTAATCTTCGTTATCAAGTTCTGAAACGTTTATATGATAGTTTTAATATATGTGCTTGTTTTGTTATCCTTTACGACAAGGAAGATTGGGAATTAGGTATATTTGAAAGTGATACTATTCAATTAACTATACCAACTGATGAATCTGATGTAAGTGAAATCAAACATTTTGTTTTTGTTTTTTATTTTTGAAGTAAAATTTTATTGATAACAAGATTAAAGCAATTTATATTGAAAAAAATCCAATTATTGTGTATGAAGAAATTTGTAAAGAAATGGGTTTAGTTGTTTATTCAAATATTCGGACCATATTAAAAATGTTTTTTGATAAATTCGAATTATCACTTCAACGATTAAGTTTAAGATTAGAACAAGCCATTAGTATATTAAAAGTGTTCGAAAATTTCATGTTTATCTATTCGATTGATTTATCAGGTAATTCATGAAATTTATTTCTAATCTTTATCAAGTTCTATCGATTTTCGGTACATATTTCTTTACCATCTTTTCACTGAATCCTTTTCCTATATAATCATAAACTAGTTTCTATACCAGAACAAGACCTTATTTATATACAGTCTTTGATCGTATACCAACATCTATTGCAGTCTGTGGGAGATTAAAATTTTTACCACTATGCTTCAACGCTCCTGTTAGATTTTGTTTTAAATGTTTGTTTTTTTAATTAAGAAAATAATTTAACGGATGAAATATTTGATCAATTATGTAAATTAACATTAGATCAGCTTAAATCATTAAATTTATCAAAAAATAAATTTACATCGAATGGTATTGGAAAATTATTTGAAGAAAAAACAATGGTAAAACCAATATGTTCATAATAGAATCTAAATATTTATATTTGATTATTTATATAGAACAATTTACTTATACTCGATTTATCAGGAAATATAGATATTGATTGTATTACATTAATATTTCTTCGAACACGTTTTTCGAATCTTACTATTTATCACTGAAAAGTTGGATGCTGGTTTCCTTTTTCTTTTTATTTATTGGACAAATGTTAAATAAACGTTTAACATTAGTTTTTTGTTTTTAGATATAAATTCATTTTTATCATCACTGGTTGCATCAATATGTTATCAATCAGTTTAACATAAATTTTATTTAAATAAGACTAAATCTATTAAGACAAGTACAGATATAAAACCAAATATGTTTTTATCAGTAGGAAAATTAGAAATAGGTTACCAAACGATTCATGTTTTACGTTAACTATAATGATTTTCTAAATATAAATCATATTTTAATGTTTAAATTCTAGTCGTTAATGCTTAATAATAGTTACGTTTTGTTTTGTAACTGTGTCAATGATTACTTTTATTCATCTTAATTTTTTCTATCAACAATTCCTTGTTTTTTTTTTTTGTAAAACTGAACCATTTCAAAAATTTATATTTTACAACTAAAGTAAGATAATACTCTCTATGATATGATATCTTGCCTTGCCATCAATTCTTTTAATGAATCATTTAGAATTATCATTCATCTATATAAAACTGTAACAATAATACTGAATAATAAAATATGTTTAATCAAATTTGAGCCAGCAATCATTATATGTATTACGAATTATAATAGTTAAGAGTTTATTCAATTTTTAAATGACAGTATTCATTCAATGTAAATGAATAAGGCTTCTTGTTAAATTTTTCTTTGCTTGTCTAAGTTTTTTTTTTTCAACGACTCCATGAAAAAAAAAAGCTCAAGCATACATTGAATATAATTATTTCTACAATTACAGTGATAGCTGCAGGCATTCATGCGACTAGAAAAAAAAAAAAGAAACATAACGACAACACGTTACATCAAAACGAACTTTTTTTTTTTCTCTTTAAATACTACAGTGCATATGAACATTGCTAAGAGCTACAATATGAAAGAACAGAAAAAATAAAGTCCATTAGATACTTAATAAAATCGTGTAGTGACGGCAACAACGATGCTTTATGTACATCAGAAAAAGTTATTTCTGTTGATAGGCACTAGTAAGTAAAGAAACAAATTTTCTTTGGTTACTTGTAAATATCAAACTATCATTTAACTTTTTTTTTGTTTTTTATTTAGGTTAAAATGGCTGATTTAAATACCGTAGCTGAAGAAACTCCTGTCGATCCTTCCAGTTCAGAAAAACGTAGTTCGAAACCACGTGTTTCTGTTCCACGTAACTCAATTTTAATCGGTACTAGTGGTGCTGGTACTAGTGGTTTTGGAGCAACTGCTGCAGGTGCACGAGCTCGTCGTCAATCATCACGTGCTTCAATTCCTCGTGCTGGATTTGATCGTCGACTTATTCGATATGAAAATACATATCGAATGGAACCTGATGATGATCACAAAGCTGATATAGCTCGATTACGTCGTGTTGCAACAAGTGTTATTGAAACAGCTATATCTGGTTATAAATATGATCCAAATCAAGGAAAACAATTTTCTTTAGCATTAGCTGAACGTGTACGTAATCAAATAAAACAATTACCATTTCAACGTTATAAAATTGTTGTACAAGTATCTATTGGAGAAAAGAAAGGTCAAGATTTACGTGTAGCTAGTCGATGTATATGGGATTTAAAATGGGACCGTCATTTAACAATTTCAAAAGAAACTTCAGATGCTTATGTAACTGTAACAATTTTTCTTGTTTACACCGAATAATATAAGCATTCATCTTTTTTTTTTTAAATATATACTAAAAAATGAAATGAAATATGCATGCTTCAAACGCCTACAATCGATTTACTACCCACATCTATTGATAAAAAAAAAAGACATGACTTAGACAGATTTTATACATTTTTCTTCTAATTAATATCATAGAATATCTATTTCAGGTGATAAATTTTTATCTTCAGCATCATGAATATAAGATAGTAAATGTTTTTCGATTTCATTCTTCTCTTCCTTTTCTGACCAAAAAAAATAAGAATACATTCACACAATAGAATATTTGATAACTAAAATAATTGATTTTTTAATCCCTACTCTATAGTGGTACATCATATAGTTATATGGCATTGATGTAATACAAGGCTAGCAAGAAGTCTGAGATAAATCTATGTATATATATAGAGAGAGAGAGTTGAAGATCGAAGACAAATCACTTTGATTGATTGCTATTTCGTTATCGACGAGAGATATTCAAAGACAAGAAATGATAGCTCTTCAATTGCTGAATATGTCAATAGTTTTAATTGTACTATCAATTATACATGTTGATGCATCAAGTCATCGATCCGTTCGACAAACTACAACCAATAGATGTCCAGTTCCATCAGATAGTAAGAAAATTTTAAGAAAATATCTTCATTATCTATATTGTTATTTTCCAACTTTAGTCGTAGTATGTGACTATGTTCAGTGTGCAAATGGACGTTGTGTAGAAGATAGAAATAGTCCTGATTGTTTTCAATGCCAATGTTACCCTGGTTATACAGGCAGACTATGTGATGAAGCTGTTGTTATACGTATGATTATCCTTTCTGCTTGCTTATATTCGATTTGATTATGCTTATTTTAAAATTTTTTCAAGCATCTTCATGTAATCCCGGATGTCAAAATGGTGGACAATGTATACAAACGGTTGCAAATACCTTTGCTTGTAAGTGTCCAACAGGTTATACTGGTACACAATGTGAAACGTCTGTATCAGGTAAGAATTCTTAATATAAAGATAAACAATCCATGTTATCTATTCTTCTTATAGTAACACATCCATGTGTTACAATGCCAGGATCTATTTGTCAAAATGGTGGAACATGTACAATGAATGGAGCTGATTACATATGTGGCTGTGCAGTAGGATGGACTGGAAAGAACTGTGAAATGCAAGAGAGTATGTTTTCAATATTATAAAAAGAATAAAAGAATATCAAATTTATATATTTTTCCAAAGCATTCACTACATGTAATACAAATCCGTGTGGAGCACATGGTACTTGTGTACAAGGTATTTCACAAAATGGACCTGTTGTATTCTGTAATTGTGAAAATCGATGGACTGGCAAATATTGTGATGTAAATCTAGACGGTAGGAATAATTTTCTTTCGTGTGTATAACAGTTGATGGGCGAATGACTCAATTATTGGCACTATATATATATCTCACATATTCATCTTTGAGAAACCAAAGAGATACAGGCGACTAGAATATGAGATTTTTTCGTAGAGATTTGTAAGAACTTGAACGAAGAAAACGAAAATCGATGATTTTGAAGCCAAGAAGGGAGTCAAACAATGTTTGACGTCCAGACACTTATTATAAATAATTATTTTTCTTTTTTTTCCATTCAACTGTCAGCCAAACTTAGAAAGTTACTTTGTGATGATGAACGTTTTTAAATAAGACAATCAGTTGAATATGAATAATGTTTTAAAATAATGGAAAATTATGCTACGTTGACAGATAGTTATTTTACGGAAAAGTTATATGTACGGTGTTATATTTTCGACTGCCGTTGGCTATTGAGTTTCATTGTTAGTTTTTGTTTAAATATTTTGCTCATTAAATGGAATGATTTCATATTGTAATTGTCCACCAACACACAGAGACCAACGATATGAAATATTAATTTCAGGAACAACGACAACAACACCAATGATAATAACAACAGTCAATCCAAATGTCACAATGACAACAACAGCAGTCAATCCAAATGTCACAATGACAACAACAGCAGTCAATCCAAATGCCACAATAACAACAACAGCAGTCAATCCAAATGCCACAATGACAACAACAATACCATGTAAAATATATCTTTACTTACATATTTATCTATAATATTTATTTTCTGAAAGTATCTGGTGCTTGTTCAACAAATTCATGTTTAAATGGAGGATCATGTTTCAATATTGGCAATACCTTTATATGTTTATGTCAGCAAGGATGGACAGGTCCACGATGTGATACATCATTTTCAACAATACTACAAACTTCGACTATACCATCTAGTAAATTCTCTTTCTCTCGTTTGAAATGTGTTTTTTTACTAAAATAATTTTGTTTTCAAAGACATTAATGCTTGCAATCCAAGTCCGTGTTACAACGGAGGTTCATGTTTTCGACATGGTAATAGCTACGTATGTGTTTGTAAATCGCAATTTACAGGTTCGAATTGTGAAATGCTTAAAACGACAACGATATCTACAATGACTACAACAAATAGTATGTTGTTTTGTAATGTTACAAGAATGTTTTTTTGATTTCTAAATTAAAATCTAAAACATCACTCTTGTTTAATATAACTGCTATTATTATTTTAATCATTTTGATAGCTGAAATCACATGTTCAAATCGACCATGTCAAAATGGAGGAACTTGTTTTAATACTGGTAATTCATACTTTTGCTTTTGCGGATCAAATAGTCTTTATACTGGTAAAAACTGCGAAACAGTTAGTCTACCACCAGCAACCAGTAAGATTTTGTTTTTATTTTTTATTTTCAATATTATTTTTTTTTATTAAAGATTGTCCCTTAAACTGTACACCTGGCTATTGTATAAATTCTGGTAATAGTCAAAATGCATATGCTTGTATGTGTAATGGTACAATCACTCCAACAAGTTGTTCATCGACATAATCTGAGAATATCATTAATCGGAAAGAAGAAACAAAAGACATATATCAATCATTTGTCTTGAAACTAATCTTTAAAAAATATTTTGAAAATGATTTGAAATAAATATTTTATGCATTATGTATGAAATTTATTTGATAAAACGATTAATGATTGAGAAATAAGAGATAGTAATTATAGTTATATTAATCATAGATTCAATAGAATGAAAAAAAAGTGATTTATTGAGATAGAATAACTTTAACGTGGTCTCTTTCATTAATGATGATGATTTATACTTATCAACCTAACCAATATAAAGTGTTGTGAATAGACCGATGCGAGTGAGATGGAAACCATTTTCCTGTCTTTAATAATGAGATAGTTGGAGACTGTTTCTGATGAATAGACAACACTAGCAAACTCAAATCTGACACGTTTCTTATGTCGAATACCGAAATTAAGACAGTTGCTCTAGCTAATTTCTAATTGAACGTTTAATAAGGATTCTATGACTACCGACACAGCTTGCAGTATAGTAAATAGATATTTCAAACCTATTCTTTCATCGAGTCTGGTATCAAAATGAGCCAGCTTTGCTCATGTCTACTGATAAGATATAGTTAGATGTGAGGCGGAAAAAGCAATGACTTTAGTCTTGAAGTCAACTGTTTGTTCCTCATTTAGATGCATAAATACTTTTTAAGTCAAAAAGAGTGAACATTTTCTTTTTGGTTTTTTGAAACGAGAAAAGTAAGATGTGAGTGCAGAAAAGATCCACACCTACACTTTGCATCCTAATTATTAATGGTTCATATCTAAAATATTTTGATATCGTATATAAATAAAGATTCTCTTAATGTCGCATTTGTATGCTGAGCAATTTTATTGAACTCGATATTTTAGAGAAAAATTTTATAACAGTTTAACAACATGTTTCTTGTTGTTTGATTGTCATTCATTTAAATAATAACCTGTAAAAATCATTCAAGAAACTAATTATTTATGTGAAATATTCAAAATCAGCTCTATTTATTTCAGTTTTTATAGATAATAATATCTATTCGTTGATTTCATATCTTATTATAGAAGCGTATGGTATTAAAGATACTAGCCTTTGATGCATTTTTACACACACAAAAATCATGTTATTTATAGTTTCGTAAATTGTGAAAGCATTTCATAGTTGAATTTTTTTTACATTGAAAAAGTCTTTATGACGTTTGTTGTGTAATAGTAAATCAATAAAATGAATAGCTTTGGTACTATATATTCAAATCAATCGTATAGAATACGAGAAAGTTTTTTTTTGTATTAGTAGATTAAACAATCAAGTAAAACATATATTTTACGAATTAATTAAACTATCATTACTTTCGAAAAATATCTTAGAATTAAATAAAAATAAACAAACACTTTATATATTGAATAGAAGCTTTACAATGGAATCTTCGATAGTATGAAAACAATTTGTTTAATTTTTAAAATAAGAGATGGAAGATAAAACTGAAATAAACTGGAAAGAAGACCACATAAAGTATTATCTTGAAGAATTCTAAATTTTATTCATGAACTCAAGAGTTTTTGCCAACAAGTTTATGCATATATCCAAAACAAATTGAAACTCAGTCGATAAATACTATAGTTAATAATGAAATACATTTAAGATTTATTATTGCTCAAAGTATAAAAAACACTTGAATTGAAGTGTTTGGTCCGGTTGAGATTTGCAACTTTTATTAAATCATTAGTTCTAAGTTTTAGAATGCTGCTACTAGAAAACATGAAGAAGTATCATTGTATTCGTTTAATTCAATCTCACTTACTATTGATTTAGTTATCAATGAAAGTTTTTGATGACTTACTGATTTCTCTATGATTGTTTCAACTCACAAAAAAATGAAAAATATCATTATCTTCAACATCTATTGTCAGAACAAGTCAAAGTACAAACAGCATTCATGACAAATACTGAAAAAATCAAGAAAATCAATGATGTCATGCCACATATGCGTAATGAAAAAAGACCTTCGAATGCGTATTAAATTACACTAAGACTACGAGATGAAAGAACCAATCATTTGATTATTAAGCTTTAGGTCAAACATGACTAATGAGAAACAAATAGTTTATTGTTGTTTTCTATTATTGACACTGGTTTAATATTTGATTATTAACAACTGAACAAACAAGAGCCAATTTTCACTCTATCATATTTTTACAACTTTTTGAACCATACATGTCAAACACAAAAAGCATATTCTCATATATTTGAATTTACATTATTTAAAGTATAAAACTACCGATTTAATAAATGCATACTGTGTTGAAAATATCAGTTTCATATTGTAACATATAGTTCTTTGCAAAAAATGAAAATCTTGACAACAAATATCGAAAGAAATTCTCTCATAGAAGAAGAAAATGTTTATTCAATTTTGCAATGTAATTGTTGAACTATGAAGATTCAACGAATAATAGCTTCTTGTGATCATTTTTTTAAGCTGCCTAGAGAAAAAGAGTAAAATATAATTAAGGAAAGGAATCGACTAGAATCAAATATCAGATAGAAAAAAACTGAGAAGCCATTATTTACTAATCATCAATAATTGATTTCAAAAAACGCTTATAATCTTCGAAAAAACACATTGATCCCTTCTCGAATATCGTAAACTGTTTTTTTTCTGAAAACTATATAACTTGGTATTGGTAAAATAGTCAGTACCATTACATTTTCTGAAATACTTTAAACAAGATGAATACTCGACACGCTTTATTAGTGGTAGCTATTGCACTATTCACCATTACTACCGGATATGCAAATACTGATATAATTAACATTGATCTCCAATATCTAGAAGGTAACAGAAAATGCATTTCTCGCCATGATACCTATAAATGTACATATCTTTCAGGAACAACTGGAAACGGTATTCAAATCAATCAGACACTATCAATATCAGATCCATGTTACTACTCACCATGTGCTAATGGCGGTAGCTGTTTCTCATATGGAAACATCTCTTATTGTATGTGTCCTGAAGGCACAACCGGATTTTTCTGTGAACA